AATTCCGAAGCTTCTCTAATAACAGACTTTACTGGCTTAGTACTACACTGTGTTACCGCTAGTAAGACGCTGTGTTTCACTTGGCCTGATTTATACGGTGCGACGGTATGCATTCACGCACCTGATAAGATGTCTCGCGCTTACGCGAGAAAATCGAGAGTTTGGCAGACGGCTAACAGGAAAACAGAACGCAAAATTGTAATCGTGCATGATTTCATTGGATTTGGTGAATACGAAGGTTCTAAGACATTTTATTGTTACTCTAGACAATTGCTGTTACTCGAGCAATAACGGTAGGTATTATGAAAATGGGGAAAACACTGGAAAATTCTCGCAATACGCTTGAATTATTCACCTACAACGTCTACAGTGTTAGACTAGAGCTTTAAAATAAAAACCTCTCGCCAAACTGGGCGAGTGAGTCAATAAGTTAAATAGTGAAAAAATAGACTATGGTGGTGGGTTCGGGAAGGGGTCCCTGATTAGGTGGGGTCTGGGGGTTCTCCCCTGGAATTTTTTTTCGACAATTACCGGTACACCTCTTAGATGCAATTTTCTGCACTCTGAGCATTATTAAACAATTGATCTTCATCACAAAAATATCACTTGAGTATTTTAATCTTTGGGGACATCAAAGGCAAAGACTAAAATACTTACTTAAAAAAAGAGAAACATAAACTTCAAATTGCTGAGGGTTGAATTGCTTAGTCTCTGCCAAGTTGTGCAAGTACAATTTTAAGGCAAAGTGGTTAAAAAGTTAATCTATCTGCCAACTGAATTAACACAGGCCTCGACGCTTAATTATTTTCAGATCTGTACAAAATTTACTTGCAATCTATGAGCCGTTAAGGTCCTCTTTTGGTTCAGTGCATATCATATTACCAGGAGTGTATAATATAGAGATATATATCGATATTATGCACTCCGGATATTGCAATATATATATGGAAAATCGTAATGAAATTCACACATTTATTTTGCGTGCCGGCACGCTCTGTGTCATTCCTGATTGCAGCTTTTTCCTCAATTCCAGGAAAGAATTTTGCTGTCGTCCTTTGATCCCAGCGGTGCCCAACCCCTATAATGAACATGCCCCACGCGACTTTTAAACAATCCTGCACTCCCCCCCCCCTCTGTACATCAATCAATATGCTGCCCCAGGCACGTATACACAGCCACGCTGTGCTGACTGTCGGCGACCTTTGATAATATAAAGTGAGGATGCCGTGAGATAGCCGCCCTTCACAATCGCTAGAACTGTTTTTCATCAATGTTTGGATATATATAACTAGAGCTGTAACGATCCACCGAAATCGGATCGAATCGCGATTCTCTTCCCTCGATCCGATCCTCGATACTTTTTCTCGTATTTTTGATCCGATCCAACCCGCTAGTACTTCATACTGTGTGCATCGGCCGAAGCGTGTATGAGACGCCCGCTCTGATTGGTCTATAGTCCTGACTCGCCAGTCAGCTAATCAGTGGCTACAGCACATCGCTAATATGTTTACAGGGCTGCAGTTAGACGTGACTGCTCGCGTTACACTGCTTGTCGAGCGTGGACCAGTCTAGGCTGCAGTTTCCCGAGTTTAATTATGCGCTTAAAGTTATTTTGTTATTAAAATAAAATTGAGAAAAAAGAAAGAATGTAATAGTTGGTTAAGAGTTTTTATTGCAAAATAATGAAAATATAAGAAGAAAAGAATATTTCTAGGCTTAATTTCCGCACTCCGCAGCAGCAAGGTTATATTCCTCATTTCAGTTGCACTGTATAAAATTTGCACCGATTGTTCGCATTGTTCGCTTGGACACATTTTTTTTTTTTTTCAGCCGGTGCCTGGCACTGGCCACGCGCTTGTGCAGTATTGATGCAGCAAGTTATTAATAGCCGTCACTGCGCGAGTCGTTTCTTGGAAATGCACGCTCTGCCATTACTTTAGTTTTGCACCCCCCCCTACCATCGCTCAGTGTTATAATGTGTTTCTAATTCTATGCATTTTGTATCTGGCATGTCTACGGTAAATGGAACAGCCTAGTCAGACAGGCGCTGTCTGCAAGGTGTCACGTAGTTTGTCTGCTAATGCGATTAACACGTGGGGAGAATGGCGTGCAATTGCCATTGCCATCCAAAAAACCCGACTTTTACAGAAATTCAGGAACGAATATACACAGATATTGAAGTCAAAACTCAGTGTTAATCATGGCTATTGCATGGTATGCAAGACAGACTTTCAAGTGGGGCACGGAGGAGGAGTGACTGCCAGAGGCATATAGTCTCTCAACAGGCATAAGTGCTATGCGGCGTGCAGTGGAATCTACACCCAATATATCAAGCTTCTTTGCAGCAGATAGAGAATGTCTGTCTTGACGCAGAAGTGAGATTTACGGATTATTTAATTGAACACAACGTGCCTTTGAGGGTGGCAGACCATGCAAATGGACTCTTCAAGAAATGTTTCCAGACTCACAAATAGCCAAAAAGTATGGTTGCAAACATACAAAACACGTGAAATTGAGACGTGACGTGAGAAATTTGCAATTCTTACCTGTGTTTTAATACATGTATTATTACTATAGTAACCTAACTGTGTACTCTCTCTGAAAAGTCATGAAAAGTGTTGAATCCCTAACTTTGTAGGGTTGAGTCTAGGGTTGAGACAGTGGCATCAGACATGAGAATATGGCCGCACAGTATGCCTCAGATTGCAGGAAAATGGCTTAAATATTTCAAAATCTTTCTGGGGGGGCATGCCCCAGACCCCCCCCCTAGCAGCTGGCATGCCAACGGCACGCGGGCCTGCCCTGCAGCAACCCGAAGGTTAATTTCGTCACCCCCCCCCCGTCCATCAATTTCATTCCGCATTTGGAGTTCACAGGGTTGGAAACCCTGCTAGCATTCGTCAACATTGCATAATCAATGGACCTATTATTCCTTTAAGCAGAATTCTTTGCTCTCTAAAAGAAGACCAATTGCTTGTCAATACGATACTCCTAGGCTGAGATATTGGCTCGTAAACTTCCCCCCTCACAGGCCTTTCGGGGGCATCGCCTATGCCCTTATCTCCCATTATCTTTCCTAGCATGGCTAATGCCAGTCATGATGGAGCCTGCAATGTTTTCTAAATTAAGTCTCTACAACGCAGCTCAGTTACTATATGGTGTAGTAAGAGTACCAAATTTGGGCATGTGACATCAATTATCAGCGCTCCAAGCGGCGACGGAAAACAATAGCCAGTCCCGCAAAAGGCAAGAAGGATAGTGAATATTGTGCATGCGAGGCGGCGTGAGGCCTGTGGGAGGCATGATTACGCTCCAATATCTCTGCCTAGGAGTATTGTAGAGACAAGCGGTTGGTCTTATTTTAGAGAGCAAAGAATGCTGCTTAACGCAATACCATGAACTTAGTCTAGAACTGCATACAAAGTAGAATAATATTGCCGTTAAATAGCACTATTTTCCCGTTTTCCCGTTGTACACTCTAGGTATTTATTAGCTCTTGTTGATATGTTTAGATTGAATATATGCTGTGTAGTATAGTCCAGTCTCAACAATGACAACATCTGTACTCTACTTTATCACTTCTGTTTCAGACAATACAGGAAAAAGTCGCGTAGTCGATCAAGCAGCCCTCGCAGACGCGATCGGGATAGGTCAAGAAAATCCCGAAGCAAGGAGAGGGATAGGGAATTAAAGAAGGCTAGAAGCAAAAGTCGAGAACGGACAAGACGGTCAAAGTCCAGAGAGAAACGCTCAAAGTCCCGCAATAGAGACAAGCCACGTTCATCCTCGAAGGACAAGGATAAGCAGAGGTCGCGGTCGCGTGATAGGGATAGGGATCGGGATAGACGGTAGGCACTCGGCTCTTCGCAGGTGTAACTAACTTGGCCCATCGAATTAATATGTCACAATTAAAATTACATTCATCGCGCATAAAATTAATCTTTTTATTCGTCTTTTGGCGATTACAAACGCAGTCGTCGATATTTTGTGGTTTACCAAATACAAAGCTAAATGAAACATGTTTAAAAGCAGTTAAATGTTATGTTGTAATTGATCAAGTTGTTAAATATGGTTAGAAATGGCGATGAAGAGTGAAAGTTCGCACGAGCGTTTTGTGTGAACACAGGAGGCGGTCGAAGAGTCACGATAGATCTCGCCGTCGCTCTCACTCGCGAAGTCGAGACGGGAGGAAGCGGTCTCGAACGAAATCACCGGGAAAGAAAGGCAAGCACCAGAAATCCAACGACAAGGACAAAGTCAAGTCTAAAGACGGGAGCGAGGAGAAGCAGACCGAGTTCCAGTTTGATCCGCTGGACAAGGTGAGCTGGTGTAGAAATTAGGGGGGCACCGGAACTTGGATCCGGCCGGATCCCCAATTTTTCAGAGTCGGTTTCAGCCGGAACCCTTCAGAAACAGTCGGCCGGAACCGGAACTTTTTCCTAAAATTTGTCATTTCTGCTACAAGCGTCATAAAAATCAAAAGATTAGTCACTGAATGTAGTTGAGAGTCGATAGAGTCAATTTGCTGACAATATAGTGTTAACAACTTCACACTTTTCTGCCCAAAAAACGCTTGCCACTTGAACATTGGCTAACTAACTGAACTGAACCTAACTGATGTTAGATGATTCATAAGATTTTCTTTCAAAATTAAATACTTTTAGAGCCACAGGAATCGCATCTGTCCGTTAGTTGAAAATGTTAGACTAAAACCAGGGATACTGCAACATGCAGGTTTTGCCACAGAATTATGCAAATTATGCACTGTAGGCAGGTGATTCGTACACCTAACAGTAAAAAAAACCATCCTGTAATTAGAACATTGAGCATTGTCCTACTCGCCTAAGTGATGTGCCTGCTAATGATTTTTCGTTCAGGCTGAGTGAGTTTGCGCAATACTGGGCCAAAACTGTCAAGTTTATTCCCAGCTAAACTTCTGGTTCCGGCCAGGTAGTTCCGGCTGGAACTTTTTTCAAGTTCCGGCCGGTTCCGGTTCCGGCCGAAACTTAAAAAGTTGGATCCGGTGCACCCAGAAATTAACTTTTGAACAAGGGACGTCCTACCCTCAAAAAGAGGGAGTCCGCATCAAAATGAGGGAGTCCGCAGTGTAAGGTTGAAAATTAAAGATATTTTAAAACAATAACGCATGTGCTTATTTTTAAGATGCATGCAGTTGCACGTCTGCCAAATTTTCTTTGGACATTAGCTGAAAAAATACAGTAATTCCGCGAGGCTGTGCTCCGGAATGAACTAGTTAGTATGGCAGAATTTTCAGGGAGTCACACGGACTCCTGCATATGTCAAATTAGGGAGTCCGACAGTAAATCGGGGAGTATTTGACTCCGGACTCCCATTAATTTCGCACCCTGGGTGAGTGAATCGATTCCAAATCTGAGGCTGCAATTCTCCAATCGCAAATTATCAAATAGGTTGGCGTGTTGTCAGAGCTGCCTACGTGCGTTTGCGTGTAAACGGGAAGAAAGGATGGTTTCCAGTCGACAGTATGTGTCGTGTGTACAGTGAGTGAACATTATTCTCTCTGACTCCAATTTTAATGTGATGGTATGTGTTTTATCAGTGCCTATCATTTCCACTGACATCAGTTTCAATATGAGCAAATTCGTATGATTAGTGCATATCATATTAAGTGACTCCAGATGTGCATCAAGTGTATCTGGGTTTCTTATAGATAAGAGGCACAGTGGCGCACCGCCGTTGTCAAATTTAACATCGCCGTTGTAAAAATGTTTATGTATTTACCCGCCATTGTCAAAATAGTGTCAACCCCAAAATAAATAGATGACCAGATTCACCATATCACAGATTCACATATTTAGATTGCCATGTGCGTTTATTGAGTCATATGACGCAGGGTCTACACTTTTCTGTTATTCGATTGGTTGGAGTGTCGTCCTTTTTGTCCCAAACTGGCCATTACCTCCTTTTGTTATAAGGGTGGTATAGTTTCGGTTCGTTTCGTGCTGCGGTGAAGCTTGTATTGAAGGCAACGTCAGACTTGTCTCTGTGTCTCGTGCGATGTGAGTCGTTGACGATGGAGATCACAGAAAAACCAACACGTCTTTATGGTAACAGATGAGGTGATATTTTATTCTACTCAGAGGCTACTGATGCAGTCTAGTGTAGTTCTGCATGAGAAACTGTAAACTTTGTAAGAACTTTGTAAAACTTGTAAACTTCGTAGGAACCTCGTAAGAGCTGGTAAAACTTGTCACAACTGCCCGCGCGCCGTGCGCGGGCTCGCGTGTCAACCCGCGCCCACGCGCGTCGTGCGCGGACTCGACCCTTTTCTGTTCTGCCTAAGCTACTTTATACTCCCCCAAATAAATCAGCCCCTCCCCATGCCTGACCATTGGTCAGACACTTGATTTCTTCTGTTCGTTGATTCGTTAACTAAATTATTTCTACATGGTACACTATGACGTAGTTATGGTGTACTGGACTCTGCTGCCATGATGGCGACTAGTGGAACTCTACTGCACTAAAATATAGCTATGTCTTTGGTGTAATGATCTCGCGAAGCCCCATATATAGAATGGGACTACGTGAGATGCTTCTAAACTCGATCGTCACGAACGTATCACATGTGGTCAACACGCACGCTTGCCGCGTATTCCTGGCCTGCGCGCGACCAACCCGTGCTAACCTTACGTAATGAAATGCTGCTAATACGCTCCGCGCGGTCAACGTTCGCTGCTGCCTAGCTATATACTGATACTAAGCGACTACTGTCATTGCTAATTTCAGTTCTACTTGCTCGCTACTGCTGTAATATTATTTCATTATGCGCTCGCGTGTAGCGCAAATATCTACACATGTTGCCAACGAATACCACGTATCTTCTCAAACCATCTCTACTCTCTACCTTCTAATAATTCTAAACTACAGTAACACTGTTACACTTTGTCTAATTTTCCCTGAAAAGAAACCCTGTGTATGTTTATAGAATCTATTCATAGAGCACACTATGAACACCCAGAATCCTGAAAATGTGATTAGTTCATGTTATTAGTTAGTAAATTGCAAGACGTGGCGGTCAGAAAATGCGATGTCGTCGGCTCGAAATCGTTTTTTTCGTTTCTACCGACTCATTTTTCGGCTACAGGAGGCAGAACAGAAGCGTCTCGAAACGGAGATGACGAGGAGGAGGGAGCGCATCGAACACTGGCGCGCCGAGAGGAACAAGAAGAAGCTGGAGCAGGCGCGCACGAACAAGGACCTCCCGATGCCGATGTTCCCGGGGAAGAAGTGGTCGCTGGAGGATGAAGATGAGGATGAACACGAGCACGTCGTCGTGGAACCAGATGCTGAATGTGAGTGAAGCCAGGCTCTTAGGCCTAAAAAAAAACATGTTTGTTTCCGCTAACGAGCTGAAAAAAATTGGACACAAAATTGGAAATTGGGCAGGCAAAACTTTTTTTATCAAATTTTTTTTTCGGTATTTTAACTTATACTTGTTTTATACTTATAACAGCCCATATAATGACTTCAAAGTCAAATCAATGCATTCACCGATCGATATCACGTTGGGATATTATAAAATATTTTAACTTTTTTTTTTTTGCTGATCACAATAAAAAGTTTTGACTCGGCGGTTTAAAATGGACTCGAGTTAGTGGAAACAAACGTCTTTTTTAGGCCTTAGCATCTGGTCGTGAGGGGTGGGTGAAGGCAGTTGGCTCCTCTTAGATGTCAGAGAAAAAAATGAAATAAAAAAGCAAAATAAATGGAAATAATCTTAAAATAAGTGTTAGGCATCTAACTATGTAGGCATCTGTAAAATCCTACTCTTTTAGGTCCACGCCTGGCATGAAAAGTGTAGTTTTACACCTGGTGCAACAATATTCCATACTGTCGTGAATAAACAAACGATCTTGAAAGTTTAACAAAGTAGATTATTATTGGCACGATTTTAAGCTATTCAATCAAATTGATGAGGAGGAGACTGTATTTAATGCCCGTCTTGCACGTCTAATTGCACATTCGTAATCTTAGCGAGGCACGTTGACAATCTTTCCTGTGATGTGTGCTTTAGCTGGTGATCAACAAGAGAACGGGACTGAGCCACAGGAAGACGTGGACCCTCTGGATGCTTACATGCAGGTACATGTTATCACGTCCTGTCGCTGTTGACGTCGAAAGACACAACGCACCTGCACCCGGCGTAATATTCACGTGTAGCTCAAGTGATTGATAGATAATAATTATTTTGTATAGCAGTTCAGCGAAAACAGCATACTTATTTCTTCATGAAATTACAATGAGTTGAATTTATGAATTCAACGAGGTTTTTGTTGGCATGTGCAGGCAACTCAATAGTAGCAGTTTTAGATTGAGTAGGTTTAGAGGCTCAGGGTTTCATCGTAACGTATCTAGTGTGGTAGCGTCACTGTGGTTTCATTCTTGATTTTCCCCGTGCCGTACTTACCTGCACCCCGTGCAATTGCATATACGTTGGCTAGGCATCTTGGCGATTCCTTCCTTGACTTTCCCTGTGTTTTGCGCGACCTGCGCATGTGCAGGAGGTCAACAATGAGGTGCGGACGATCATGGGTCACCACCACGTTGCGGGCAAGGACGCGAAGATGGAGCGTGTGACGCGCATCGTGAGTGTGGCCAAGGTCAAGGCTGAGGAGAAGAAGAAGGGAGAGCTGATGCAGAACGACCAGGATGCGATGGAGGTGAGCAGACGCCAGCACGTGAAACTAACTTGGGACAAGCCTGTCCATCTGCATGAATACATCGTGATCGCTGAATGCGTAGCCGGACTACTACCCTCTGGACAACTACCACCCGGACAATTACCCCCCTAGAACAACTGCCACCCGGACAACTACCCCCCTAGGGTTAGGGTTAGCGTTAGGGTTAGGGTTGTCCTAGGGGGGTAATTGTCCTAGGGGGTAGTTGGCCGGGTAGCAGTTGTCCGGGTGGTAGTTGTCCTAGGGGGATAATTGTTTGGGGGGTAGTTGTCCAGAGGGTAGTAGTCCGAGAATCCGCTGAATCTACACATATGCACGTACCCCACAAATGTACACAAAGACATATGCATATATGCAATACGCTACATGTAGAGTAGACACAAGCATGCATGCACGAACTCGCTTGCATCCTATCATAAACGTACATATGCATGTATGATTGACGTTAGTACGCTAAGAAAAGCAACATTTCCTTTATCGCCGCGGCCGGAGTGTTAGAATGTCATGATTAATGATGGGTATCGCTTACATTTTTGTATCGCGATATATCGCGATACGGAACAGTGTAAAACGTTCAGAGTCAGACTGAGCTTTAATAATACTCAACACAACAATTCAAACAAGCAGGCTATCTTATTGTGTATGTATGCGTGTGTGTGTGTGTGTGTGTGTGTGTGTGTGTGTGCTGCGCGCGTGCGTTTGTGTGTGCGTGCGTGCGTGTGTGCAGTTGCAACTGTGCTGTGTGAGTGTTTGTACTTAAGCGGGGGCGGGTGCATATGTTGTGTGTATAGTGCTGACGGTATCCCACGGCACGCGCCGTTGCGAGGGCGGTGCGGGGGGGGGGGCGGAATCGGTACGGCGAGAATGTATCACGATAGGTATTATTTTGAGTTTGTACCGCGATATACCGGTATACCGATAATACCGCGCACCACTAGTCATGATATTTGATATGTCGTCCCAATCGCCAGTATTCAGGGATGCGTGCGGTAAGTGTAATGCCCTCTCTCTCTCTGCATGCTTGCTTGTGTAGTACTCGTCCGAAGAAGAAGAGGAGGACCTGAAGAAGAAGGCCAGTGCTCTGGAGGCGTCCAAGAGCACGGCTAAGAAGCTAGAGGCGGTCGACCACACCAAGGTCACTTACCAGCCGTTCCGCAAGAACTTCTACGTTGAGGTGCCGGAGATTGCTCGCCTCTCCCCCGAAGGTGAGTGCAGCCCCCTCTGTATTCGTTCGCATAGCGTCTGCCGGCGCACGTTGAAATAGCTGTGGTTCATTTGCAGAAATAGCCTCATGTTTCTTTCACCCCAGGATGGGACTAACTACCAGCATAAAATCAAAGTCGGTTCTATTCTGGGGATGATGCATACATTTTGCGCCTGAATTGTTGTGCTTCATAGATTCACAGTAGTCATGAGGATTTCTTGTCATGATTGTTTCTGATGACGCGCCCTTGATTAGCTTGTGTTTGAGTGTGGTGCCTCCCTCCTAGTTTACGCATCGTGGATTGTTTTGCGTGAGCCACTGTAGATGGCGTCACTGACACTGAAAGATGCGTGTTGCAGGCCAACGTGCAGGCCAGCGAACCGTGCAGCCGTGATTTGCACGGTCAGTTTTGAAACTGCACGGCCAAAAAAATTTAAAAAAATTAAAAAATTTTGAGGAGGCACTCTCCCGCCCTCCCTTCGTGAACGCCTATGGCGGTCTTGGCTGAGACACACAGAAAAATTGCACTCCCAAATAATTTTTCAGCACTCCCACAATACTCATTCCTGGCTAATACCATGTTGCAGACGTGGAGGTGCAGCGGCAGGAGCTGGAATCAATCGTCGTGAAGGGCAAGGGCTGTCCCAAACCCATCTCACAGTGGGCGCAGTGCGGCGTCTCCAAAAAGATCCTCGACTCCATGAAAAAGTGCGTGCCAGGGGACGAATTTCGCAATTTTAGCCACTTGCGGAAAATTGCGAGTGCCTAAAAATCTATGTGCTAAAATGAATTCTAACATGCAAATAACTCGGCATTATGAAAGTGTAAACAGCGTACGGTAAATAACGGCGAATTGAAACTTGTTTAGGGAATTTGACCAACCAGTTTGACCATTAATCATGAGATATATTCTTTCCGTGATCGACAGTGATAATGTATGCGGTGTATGCTATACATTTCTACTCGCAGAAAATAGCAAGTGCTTATATTTTCTACTCACAATTTCTCAATATTGACATGCATTTTGCGAGTTAGCAATAGGGAAATTCGAGCCCTGCGTGTGCATGAGTTGCGTTCACGGTTGCAGCCTCGTCGTTCGAGATTAGAATAGCGGATAGTTAGAAGCTGTCCTCGGATTAAGTCAATATTTGGTTAAAATCTAGTTCAGATTCGGTGAAAATTGGTTTGAGATACGTTAACTTCATCGCTCAGCAGTGTTTTATGCATCACCCGTATTGTCACGCACGGAATCGATGCTGATTGCAACGGTGATCATCTCCAGCTACTTATTAATATATCCGTACAGCGTAGACTACTTAGGTACGACAGTGCGGTAACATCGTTAGTGGCGAGGTCGTCGTCCTGACGACCATGACACGTGTGCGGGCGCGTGTTTGCAGGCAGAACTACGAGACGCCGACGCCGATCCAGGCGCAGGGCATCCCGGCGATCATGGCCGGACGCGACGTGATCGGCATCGCGAAGACTGGAAGCGGAAAGACTATCGCCTTCCTGTTGCCGATGTTTCGCCACATCATGGATCAACCGCCGCTCGAGACGGACGACGGCCCCATCGGTGAGTCAAGTCAGCGCGGGTCAGAGCCGGTGCGGTGTAGATACGAGTGTGTGCGTGGGTGCGCGTGTCTGTGGGTATGCATGGGTGTGTGTGTGTGTGCGTTTATGCGTGTGTGTGCGTGCGCGTGTCTGTGGGTGTGTGTGTATGTGTTTATGCGTGTGTCTGTCTGTGGGTGTGTACGCGTGTGGGTGTCTGTGTGCACGTGCATGTGTGTGTGTCTATGGGTATGCGTGGGCGTGTGTGTATGCGTGCATGTGTGTGTCTGTGGGTGTGTGTGTGTGTGCTTGTATGTGTGTCTATGGGTATGCATGGGCGTGTGAGTGTATGCGTACGAGCGCATGTCTCTGTGTGTGTGTATGTATGTGTATATAGCTGCGTTCACACGATATACACGGCCTTGCTGGTTCCGTACTTATCTGGTGCTGAATTCGGCTGAAATACCGTGCTAAGACAACCTGGAGCGTTCACACGAGAATCGAGGCTTAGCTGGCTAGGTATAATATAGACTGGTACCCGGTCGACAGTTCCACACGCTACACTAACGTCGTGTAGCGAACGGGTACCAGTCTAGGTAAGCGCGCTACAGTTTCGCAATTCGAAATTGCGTTCACACGACAGACAATACGCGGCCAGCGTGGTGCCGAGTAAGCCGCGTATTTCAGTACGGTACTGAATAAGCCACGTATATTTTTAGCGTATGAACGCTCAAGTACGGTGGCGTGTGTCTGTGTGTCTATGGGGGCGTGTTATCATTGTAACTATCGCCATCATTTCCATCAGGGTATTAGCCAGGAATGAGTATGAGTGCAGAAAAAATATTTGGGAGTGCAATTTTTGTGTCTCAGCCAAAACTGCCGTAGTGGACTTTGTGAACGCCGTAGGCGTTCACGGGGGGAAAGATTATACACTACAGGGGGCCTCCCCTGGAAAAGTTGTTAAATTTCTTTGGCCGTGCAGTTTCAAAACTGACCGTGCAAATCACGGCTGCACGGCTCGCTGGCTAATACGTTGGTTTCCATCCCCGTCGTCGTCGTCGTCGTCAGCACGTGTAATGACGTGCCTCTCTCTCTCGCTTCTCCCGCAGCACTCATTATGACGCCGACGCGCGAGCTCGCGATGCAGATATCGCGCGAGTGCAAGAAGTTCTGCAGGCAGCTGGGCGTGCACCCGGTCTGCGTGTACGGCGGCACGGGAATCTCTGAGCAGATCGCCGAGCTGAAGAGAGGAGCAGAGATCATCGTCTGCACACCGGGACGCATGATCGACATGCTCGCAGCCAACAGCGGTAAGGCTTGCCGGTCACGTCCATGTGTCATAGTTCGAGCACGAAGAAGGAACGTAGGGGGGAGGGGGAGAGTTTGGGAAGGTAGGGCCATAATAAAAATATTGTTTGTTTGCCCTCACCTGAGCGGGTCGCCAAAAAGGAGCTGACTCAAACATTTTTGATGATCTTTCCCATTCTTTTTTTAATTTTATTTTTACAAATTGTATCACTGTACATTATATAAATCTGTAGGCAATACATTATATGTACCAAGCAAAACAAACATTTAACATAAAAGGTATCTCCACACAAGAACAACCAAGCATGTAGACACCATGCTTAATTTGTAAAAAGAACCCCCTCAAAAAAAGAAGACTACCTACCTACCCAAACTTTTCAGCCTGGGTCGGGTGAGGGCGAACAAAGATTTTTTAATTGTGGCCTAGGGTTACAAGAAATAGAGGGCTACAAGCATCAGTTTTGCAGCCTACACAGGTTACTGGCTGCTGTCAGTGTCGGCAGCAAATACTTGCTGCCAAGGAATTTCTAATCAAGCAAAGTAAAAGCATTACGCTACAGGTAAACTCAGGTTGAAAATTATGGCCACTTGTTGAGGGTTGTTTTTGATAAATCACGTTGACCCTACGTGTACCTGTGCCCCATCCGTACTTCCTTTGATGCGCAACTTGGGTTGAGCATAGGTGACTATATTTAGAATGAACAGGTCAAAGAAAATAGGGCCAGGAGGCCAAACCGGCTACCTTATGGGTAGAGGGCAGTACTGGTGCGGTGAGTGGACGTCTAATTGCTATGGTTTATTCAAGTTTCTGTCTGGGTAAGTAAGTTTGTTGCTGCTTGCTTTCTTCTCTGGCAGCAAGTACTTGCTGCCTGGCAATACAAATTAATTTCTAACCCTGGGAAAGGAGTTGAGAGAGGGCAGGAGGAGGGAATATGTGGAGGAAAAGGGTGGGAGGGAGAGTAGAAGAGAGAATTTATGAGAGAGGTAGAAAGGAGGAGTGAAGGGGCAGGAAAGTGGAGGGAAAGAGAACGTGGGAGGGACGAGGGAAGGGAAATGAAGTGTGAAAGTAAAAAAGATGGTGTAGAGAGTCGGCTGGGTCTAGCAACTAGGTGTTGGTAGTACGGGGAGCTAGCTAGTTTGTAACCGTATATTTGCGCGTGGGTCTGATGGTGTTATTGTAAAAAAAGAAGAAGATGGTGTTATTGTAAGCCCAACATGGCCTGCACATAAGCAGAGATGTTCGATGCAGCCTCAATACCATGAACACAGTGTGTGAATGGATCCTACGTCAGCTTGCCATGAAACTGGTAAGAGTTATATACCTTCACACATTGGGGTAAAAAAAAACCTGTAAAGCTTCAATATCTGATAATGTGCGTTGCTGTGAATGCCCCCTCGACTGGAGTGCGCTACATCTCACCCTCTGCCCTGGCCAGCCTTCCCCAAATGCGGAACAACCAATTTCAAACAAACATACTAATAGCCACCCTTTCCTTTCAGAAGCAGTGTTTGTATAAACTCCTAGCCTTTCTGTATGTACTTGCAGAAGTGGTGTTGGCATTGCAGATGTAAGTATGGTAGCCCGAGCACCCCAGGGTCTATGCAGGCACAATTAATTCGCTAGCTGTCAGCGTTATTCCTCCACTGTTGCTTCTCAATGACTTAAAATCGTAGGAGAATGTCACATGCTGTCATTTTGTAGTGGCAACGAACGAACGTCATAATATATCGACATATCATATTGTCTGGCTTGTATTGTTTTTGGGAAAGTTGGCAATCACGCAAATTCTTCTGCTGTTCTATTACATTATTTTGGTCTTATCACCACCAGGAGGAGTTACTTCTATTGCATTTGTCTGACTTGCTATGTGTGGGGAAATTTGCTGACCCAGCCAGCATACACATGTAGCAGAAACCACACTACACACGCACACATGCACGCGCGCACGCACATACACATACCTACGCACATACATACATGTGCTTGCATTATCGCAACAAAAATCAGCCACCAGTTAGCATTTCTGGCCTAGCTACTTAACGCGTTTGCTCGCCTTCATTTTGTTCTGCACGAATGTGCTATGTTGGGTGAAATGTCTGGAAAGGAAAGGAACGAGAAAAACAATTTGATTCCGAAGATATCCCAGGTTGCAATACTGCAGTCGTACGTGAGGCTGGTAACATCAACATTGCTCCTACCTGGGGCTTTGGAATAACACGCAGAGCTACCTATTCACCTACTTGGTTTGTCAAAAAGCTAGATGCTGTGATGCATTTTGCCACTCGTGTATACACACATACATGCATCTATAACCATTCACACCTACTTTCATACACTTGAATGCTGCTGGTATGTGTGTGTGCGTGCGTGCGTGCGTGTGTGCGTGCGTGCGTGTGTGCGTGCGTGCGTGCGTGCGTGCCTGCGTGCGTGCGTGCGTGCGTGCGTGCGTGTGTATGTGTGGGTGCACGTGCGTACATCTACAAACATATATGCGTGCATGCCTACATACATACATACACACATGCTTATATGTGGTTATACAGTATATCAGGAGCTAATAATGACAAAGTTGTCATTATTAGCTCCTGGTATATGTATATATGGATAGTTGTCGACAGTACTGTGTTAGCTGCCGTCGCATAGACCCTGCTGGACCTGCTATAACACAAACAAGGCGTGCTCTTTGCCCGCCTCTGATCTCTCTATGAAACAGCTGCCTTTGCACATGCGGTTTTATGGAGTTGTTATTTTGTGCAGGCCTTCAGACTTTGCTGATGCTCGCATGGAGAGAGCTGCCAGAATCCGATGGGTACTTATCAACCAAGTCTCGCGCCGCCACCTGTTGGCGCTGCATGAAAGTTCTCGCCTCCGAGAGTTTTTTCTTTTGGAGTGGGAATTCTCGGCTCGGCTACAGCGCTGTCTGAATCATAGCGATGTTCAGTGATGTTAGATGTCAGGGGCTAGGACGAAAAGTGAACGAGTTTAATCAAGGTCGAAAAAAGAAATTTGAGCAAGCGAAAACATTGTCATACCACCTGTGAAGACACTGGAGCGGACCCAGCCAACGTGAATTTTAAATTTGGTTGCATTGTCCAACTGTCGAAACTACTGCGCTTAGATAGTTTTAGGCAGATGCTGCCATCTCAAACGCTGCGAAGGAGTACACATGGGGTAGTGACTTTGGGAGTAGAAGTTTAGGTCGATAATTCATAGACCTGGATCTCAGTGGGGGGATTCCCTCGTTAAGTATCGTCAATGGCGTATGCTGCAGGGTAAAAAATACACGGGAGCGACTCGCTCTTCAAACCTCCGAAATCGCTCACGTGAGGCTCAAAATAGCTCCCATGGAAAATTATTTTTTTTTTCTCTGGTATGCTGTCGAGCCGTTCCACTGACAGAGACAAGGTGACAAGGTTGCCGTGGTAGGTGTGGTGGGTGGGTGTGGGTGGGGAGTCCCGGGGTCCGCTCTGGTGTCTTCGCCGCCCGCGTGCGTATGATGTGGGGGGGTGGGGGGTGGAGGGGTTAGAGGCTTGTCGTTCGCGCTGTCGTGTCCTCGCTCTATGACACCGTCTCTCACGCGCGTCCGTATCTCTGCTTGTGTGTGATTGCAGGCCGCGTGACAAACCTGAAGCGAGTTACCTACCTGGTGCTCGACGAAGCTGATAGAATGTTCGACATGGGATTCGAACCGCAGGTCAGTGCTTTAATTTTTTTCAAATTTCATTTTGTTTTATTTTTTATTCTGTTATTTGCTATTTATTCATTATTTGTATTGATTATATTTATTATTGAATTTGATGTGGTTGTTTTGGATTTGCTCGTGCCACATTGTTTAGCCGAGCTTTTGTTTTTCTCATTGTGTATAGTTTCGCTTTGCATTTGGTTTCTCATATTTTGGTGGTGTTAACTTACGCATGGTTTGTGTGAATTGTACTTGTATTGTTTTGGATTGTGCTTGCACCTTGTTCCCGATAACAGTGCGATAGTGTGCACACATGGCCGCCATATCTCCGTCTCCCCAAGATCATTGTCTAACATTGCCTCTCTCGGACACGTCTCACGTCGTCTCACACGCGTCTCGCGTTGTCTCACACATGCCTCACAGTGTGTGAGACTGCGTGAGACAACGTAGACGCGTTGTAGACTGGAGACAAGGTGAATCGCATGTGAGCATGCAGTGAGATGTGTGTGAGACGGAGTGTGACAACGTGCAGCCGTGTGAGACGGCGTGTGACAACTAGTGATATCGCGTCTTGAGATGTGTGAGACGGTGTGACAACGTGAGATTGTGAGATACGTGTACAACGTGAGACGCGCTGAGATTGTGTGAGCACCGTGTGACAACGTGAATTTGTGAGACGCGTGTGAGATGTGTGTGACGAGCAACTCCGTGACAACGTAAGACGCTGTGTGAGATGCGTGTACAACGTAAGACGCGTTGAGATTGTTGTGAGATGCATGTGACAACGTAATACGCGTGTAGATGCTTGTGACAACGTGAGACGCAGTTGAGATTGTGTGTGAAACGCGTGTGACATACGTGATAACCGTGTGAGATGTGTTGTGAGACCGTGTGACAACGTGAAACGTTGTGAGACGCGTGTGACAACGTGAGCGGCGTGTGAAACGCGTGTGCCACGCGAGACGCGTGTGAGATGCTATTGAACGGTGCGAGACAAGTGAGACGTAGGTGTGCGACGACGTGAACCGTGTGTGAAGACAAGTGACGACGTGGTGTGAAGACAACGTGCAGACGCGTGTGAGACAATCGCGAGACTCGCCGTCTGTGAGACAATTGTGAGACGGTGTGAGACAACGTGAGACGCGTCGTGAGACAACTGAGACGTGTGTGTCGACGATCGGTGACGTCGTATGTGAGACAAACGTGAGACGTGTGTGAGACAACGTGAGACGCTGTGGAGACAACGCGCGAACGTGTGTGAGGACAATGTGAGACGTCTGTGGACAACGTGAGACGCGTGTTCGAGACAACGTGAGAGTGCCTGTGTGAGACAACGCTGAGACGTGTGTTAGACAACGTGAGACGACGTGAGAGGTGTGTGCGGACGACGTGTAGACGTTGTGCAGACAACGTGAGACGCGTTGTGAGACATACCGTGCAGACGTCGCTGTGAGACAACGTGAGGACGTTGTTGGAAACGCTTGAGATGACGTGTGTGAGAGACGTTGAGACGCGTGTGAGACAACTGTGAGACGTGCTGTGAGAAACGGTGGAGACGTCTGTGAGACAACGCGAGACGCGTGTGAGACAACGTGAGACGTTGTGTTGAACTGGTGGGAGACAAGTGAGACGTGTGCTTGAGACAACGTGTAACGTGTGTGCCATAGTGAGAGTGTGAGACAACTGAGGCATGTGTGAAGCACATGTTGAACGTGGCTGAGACAACGTGACACGCTGTGCAACAACGTGCAGGGCATGGTGTGAGACAATGCGAGACGCCCGTGTGAGACAGTGAGAGCCCAGTGGGGTTGTGAGGACAAGTTTCACTGAGACGTGTGAGACAAACGTGAGGCATGTGTGAGACAATGCGGACGCGTGATGGAGACTGACGTTGAGACGTTGGTTGAGTACGAGTCGAGAACGTGTCAGAGAGGAGACAATGTTAGACAATGATCTTGGGAGACGGAGATATGGCGCCATGTTGTGCACACTATCGC